GAACTGGAAGATCTCTGCCACCTGGGTCAGAGGCGGATGCATTGATGCGATTACGCTATAGATCAATGCCATTCTGAATTGGGCTGGAGAGACTTGGACAAGTCATTACCAAGCAATACCACAGGCTGTTATGACAGATTGGGGAGCAGCTCTGACGGACTCTCAAGCCCTACTTGGACACTCCTTGCCACTCACTTTTTCTTTTCATGGTAGAGTGGAGCAGCTTCTAAGAGGAAGGAGGGCTCTTGTGTTTATTTTTGCAATTGGGTTTGAACAGCCATTTCTTACCTTCTCAGAGCCTCTTCAACCAAGGACTCTCTGTCTTCTGAAACAAAGCTGTTTCTGTTCACACTAGGTGGGTGCATTTACTAGTGATCCTTGCAAAACTTGTTTGGGCTACGAACCTAGACCCATGGAACATGGGAGTAAAATCAGCAAGACTCGCTTCTGAGTAAGGAAGCAAGCTTGCTTAGGATTGTTTCACTGTGATGGCCTAGGACTTGGGCTCGGGCTCGGAACCAGAGGAGATTCAGTCTGCACTGGATCCTTTGCCTCAGGCATCACCTGAACCAAGTCTGGGGCCTGATCCTGAAGAGTCCCAGTCTGCATAGGTTTCCCTGCAACAAACACCAGCTGGGCCGAGTTAGGGGCCTGAGCCTGCCCTGGCTCCAGATGCGGGGATTACCTCGTTGCCTTCAGCTGGGCCATCACTTACAGCTGCTCCACTACCGGTTTGGTCAGGGGAGGCTGAGGCGGCCTCTGGGTCTAGTAACCCACCAACGTCTCCCAAGCTGCAGAGACTAAGGTCTGAGAGAAGGAGAGACCTGAGTACTTGCAGGAGGAGTGCTCGTCTTCAGGCGAAACAGGGAGGTGAGTCGCCGGGGGATCGGGACCGGCCGCTACCCCAACAAAGATAAAAGGCTGTTGGACCCCACCCCAAGTTGCAGGAGCAACATTGCTGTATGCTAGATCCTGCCTGAGATCTTGTACCTGCCCTTGCCTGGTTTCCTGGCCTTGTGTCCTGCCTTGGCCCTGTCAGACTGACTCCTAGCGGAACCTTCAGATTCTGGACCAGTCCTGGACTGAGTTTCATGGGTTACCTCCGGGCCCAGCATATTCACAAAGCTAGAGTTCTAAAAACACTTACAGTACTAGGGAGCAAACCTGTTAAACACAGGGAGACTGCTGAGTTTGAACGCAGTGGATTGGGCTGTATGTAATCTCGCTCATTATACAGAGGCAACCAATCTCTATTAAGTCAGGCACCCGACTGTCAGCGCTATTCTTTGCTTCAGAGCAGTCAGTTCTGAAAAGCCTGCAGGAATGAAACAGTCTTCACCTGCCGGTGGAAGAACAAGAAGCAGGGAGCTGGTCTAGCTTCTCTAAGAAAGGAGTGCCAAGTCTGGGAGCAACCACTGAGAAGGCCCTCTCCCACGTCGCCATCAAACGTGCCTGTAATGGTGGCAGGATTAAAAGAAGGGCCTCCAACCAAACAATGTGGACACAAATGCATCTTTTAGGGATAAGTAAGCATTAATAATATAATAATTTTATTATTTATACCACGCCCATCTGGCTGTGTTTCCTCAGCCCTTCTGGGTGGCTTCCAACACATATAAAAACATAATAAAACATCAGACATTTAAAACTCCCAGTACAGGGCTGCCTTTGGATGCCTTGTAAAAGTTGTGTAGTTCTTTATCTCCTTGACATCTGATGGGAGAGCGTTCCACAGGGCGGGTGCCACTACCGAGAAGGCCCTCTGCCTGGTTCCCTGTAACTTAACTTCTCACAGTGAGGGGAGCTGCCAGAAGGCCCTTGGAGCAGGGTATTGCCTATAGTTGTTAAAATAACATGCAAAAACGCCTTGTATTGTGGAAAAATGCTTGCAAAATATGTAGATTAGTCAAAACAACAATAAAAAGTTGTGTTTGGGGGAAATTCACACTAAACCGATGAATTTTCAGAAGGATTTTTTTAACACTGCAAATTTCTGTGGAAATGTACACAACTGAATTTAATGCTGGAAAAGTGAGAAACGGAGAGAAGCCAAAATTGATAGATTTGTTCAACCCAACTGCTTACCCTACAATGTACCCCAGCTGTTACAAAGACCAACTACACCTCAGTCTTCCCTTCCCTGAAATGATGCCTACAGAGCGAACACATTCCATGAAAGGGTAAGTTTGTTTAAGGGCCTCGCTCTGCTTTTCTTTTGAGTTATGGAAAGAGGGAGGGGGAGAATGGCCTCATGTCCTTGTCTTTCAATCTGTTCATTAGGTCAGCTGAATATACAGCCCAACAGCTGCGCCGTGTTACTGCATTTCAATTACTTAAATGGAGCGCTCTGTTTTGGTGACACGTTTTATGGTCTTAACAGCCCATTAAAAATGTTCAGGGGAACATTCGCACCTTGCTCAGTGCTTAAGGTGTAGCCACTGCAAATATGTACTCAGCTGACTGACATCAAACAGGCCCACCAGGCACCAAACAGATCCCTAAGATATTAGAGGAGAGGGGAGCTGAACCAAAACCACCCCTCTTTTTTTTAAGTATCTAGGAAACAATACAGTGGTACCTCAGGTTACAGACGCTTCAGGTTACGGACTCCACTAACCCAGAAATAGTACCTCAAGTTAAGAACTTTACCTCAGGATGAGAACAGAAATCGTGCGGCGGCAGCTGGAGGCCCCATTAGCTAAAGTGGTAGTACCTCAGGTTAAGAACAGTTTCAGGTTAAGAATGGACCTCCAGAACGAATTAAGTTCTTAACCTGAGGTACCACTGTACAGTGAATATCTGAGCAGATCAGTAACAAAAATGAAAACTGGAAGTGGTATTCAGTGTAACCAAGACTCAGGTGATGAAAAGAAACTGTAGCTTGAGGCAGAAGCAATGCTGAATAAATATATTAAAATAATTGCAGAGATAAACTGAGTTCTTGCATGCAGTTCCGCTGCTTGCTAAAGGCATTCTCAAATATCACTGCAAGATAAACAGCTTATTGTAGAGTCGGTGCAGCTTATGCGCACAAGTTTTTTTGTCCACACAATGCCATTGTTATGAAAGCTTCCCCCCCCACTCCTTTGCAGTTACGTAATGCACAGTTCTCTTTACTGCAGAAAATCTGATAAGTAAAAACAACCTATTATACGTCTGCAGTCGCTAGTCGTGCGGAAACTTCGTAGGTCTTTTCGTGAGGGAGGGCAGTTCGTCCAACGCTGGGCTCAACGTTGGCCATTTTGTTTCCAGGAAAATATGAGCAGGCCTATTCCTCCAACTGCCACATTGGAGGCATATTTGCATTTCAACAACCCAGTTAGGAGCTCTGTTCCCTTAAGATCTCCACACAATGGGGGGGGGGGGATTAGTTGAGACACTCAGCGCTGTCTTTAGCATATGTACCATTGGGGTGCAAAGATCCACCCAGCGCCCCCAAATTTAATTTAGCCCCAAAATTAACTTTTATTATGCTTATGTCAGACACCACGCTTACACATTATCTCTTGTTTATGAAAGAAAGAAGGAAAAAGAAACAAACTTCTTTATTTGCTCATTTATTTACAATGCACTTATACTTAAGTGTACAACACCACCACACTTAAACTTATAAGTATTGTTTAGGCACCTACTTAGGAGAAACATCAGTCGTGTCAAAGGTGCCGCTGACCCCGCTGCTGCATAGCAGCTCAATACAATACGTAACATAATATTTTTATGTAAGAGTTAATTTCGCGTGCACAGCACCGTTGAGTCTGACAAGCGCCGCTGTTGTGAATGACAAGCGCCACCGCTGGCGCAGCGTGTCTTTGGTAAATGAGTGCACAAAGTCGAAAGTCCTTTAATGAAACAGTAGGTATACATTTTGGTAATACCTAGGTATATATGTATTTTGTTTTTCTAGCTTGATCAACATTATTTATTATTTCATAACAGGTAGATAGTTAAGAGCTTAGGCGGCTTCAGTGGCAGACGCCTGGCGCCCCCCAGAATTTGGCGCCCGGGTGCCTTGCACCCCTGGGTAAAGACAGCCCTGCAGACACTATAATTGCACCATAGAGTGAGGCAGAGGATTTGTGGCGCAGCAAGGCAGCAGCACAGCAGTGTGTCCAGGGGGAGAGTGCGCATTGCGGGGCAGCCGAAGAGGAACAGTGCAACCTGTTGACGGAAATGGTACTGAGTACCATTGAGTACCGCCAGAAAAAAGTACTGCTCCTAGCCATGATGGTTATGCTGGAGAGTAATGCTTCTAAATGCCAGTTGCTGGAAGCCATACAAGGGCAGAGAAAGGACTCTTGCACGGGTCCTGCTTGCCAGTTTTCCACAGGCATCCGATTGACAACTGTGAGGACAGGACAAGCTATTGGCTTGACCCAGAAGGCTTTTCTTATGTTCTGACAAGGCTGGAGAGCTCAGTCAGTAGAGCATGAGACTCTTAATCCCAGGGTCATGGGTTCAAGCACCACACTGGGCAAAAGATTCCTGCATCACAGTGGGTTGGACTAGATGACCCTTGTGGTCCCTTCCAACTGTACAACTCTATGATTCTATGTTTTTAAGCCAGGGGTCAGCAACTCAGGCAGGCCCCACAAAAAACCCAGAGATGCATTTTAAATAAAAGGACACATTCTACTCATGTAAAAACACGCTGATTCCCGGACTGTCCGCGGGCCGGATTGAGAAGGCATTGGGCCGGATCTGCCCCTGGGTCTTGGGCTGCCTACCTCTGTTTTAAGCCAACATGCCAAATGCACACACAGAACTATTGGATCTGAAGAACTCTTTTGCGAGACGAGCCCCACTACCAGAGTCTGGAAGTAGGCGCAGTCATGTCGTATTGGGCTGAGCCATTCACGGTGCAATTCTATACATGTCTACTCAGGAGTGAATTCCAGTAAATGAAATGGGGCTTGCTCCCAGGTAAACAGGGAGAGGATTGCAGCCTAAGTAAAGGCCGGAGTAGGCTGCAGCTCTCAAACAATTTGGAAGATGTGGAAGAGCTGCAATCTTTGTGAAAGGGGCTGCTGTGTGAAAGACGTAGGAAAGATTTCTGCTTGTTTTTCCACTAGTGAAAGGAGGAAAAGTGCCTGGAGCAATGGAGGGAGAGAAAAAAGGCCCCTCTCCTGAACACTCATCTGGCTGTTAAAGTGAGACCACCCTTGTTATATTTGCAGACTAGGGCCCCATCAGGCGACCTCTTGTTTGGGCCTTACAAAAGAAAAGAAATCTATGTGGGTTTAGTTATTATACACTTTTGTTGATTCAGAAAGAATATCGGGTTTCAAACATTCATTGGGGAAAAGGCGAACAACTCTGCAAATGGCGATGGAGTTGGGGTGAGATGACCTGACAAAAGGTCCTACAGTGCTGGCTTTAGAGGGAGGGCAGCTGCCTGGGCCCCACACTTCTGGGCCCCTCCAGAATCTTGTACAAAATCCTGCCTGCCTCCTTTAAAGTCAAGTCAGTCGCCATTAACTCAGCAACATTGCCAGCAAGCAAGTCCCTCATTGGTTATTATTTATTAAATTGGTATGACACCCTTCATCCGTAGATCTTGGGGGAAACCTAGGCATTGGGCTTCTCCTCCAGGCCCATCCACACAAGCCCATACACAAGATCCTTGACTGGGAGCTGTCCTGCCCATGCCCAGTTGCCCAATTGTCCATTTCTCCCAGGACACAAGTAGGGAGGAGGCAGCCATCTTGTTTCACAATGAAATCTCAGCAGAGCAAAGGAAATGCTGAGCTTTTGGGCCGTTTCTGTTCACATAACAGCAGCACCTCTGGAGATAACAGCTTATTTTCCTCTTTAGTACGACTTGCATTCGTTCTGATGGTTGGTATGATGTATTCAGTAACATTCTTCCCCCCAGCTGCAATTGGCCACAGCAAATGCATTGTGATGCACTCACTGATGATTTCATGGCGTCATCATAGAATCGCAACGTTGGAAGGAGCCCTGAGGGTCATCCAGTCCAACCCCCTGCAATGCAGGATTCCCAACCGATGCAGGAATCTCAATCCTATGGTGAGACCTGCCCGGTTGAGCAGTTGAGGGTGCAGAGGATCTCTGGCTGAGCCTGGAGCTTCCTGGATCAGCCAGAGATCTACGCCAGTGCAACTTGATCACCCTGACTCATCTGGGGCCGTTTTAGCAAAGTTTGCAAACAGCTGAGAAAGGGAGGCGAGAGAAGCAAGGAGGGCAAGGGGTTGTTTCAGTGACAAAAGGGAACCTGGAGAGATGTGAGTGCCGGCAGCAAGCTGCCCTTTAAGCTTATTTTTTCTAAATAGCTCGGTGGGTGGCTGGTGCTTGTTCATGAAAGGAAGGTTGACCTTCTCCATGGAGGGGGTCACCGGGAGGCGCAAAGAGGGTCTTGCTGGCTCGTCCTCCGTGTCAAGCTTCTCAGAGGGGGGAATTCTGAAAAACACCAAAAGGGCGCGATTTGGGGGTCTCTTCTGAAACAAAGCTCTATGGATGTCTGTCTGCCGAAAGGCTGAGGTAATAAATCTCTCAGGGTCGGGCCAAATTAATTAATTTTTTTTTAAAAAAAATCACAGACTTGGTGGGAGGGTCAGGGAGGGTTTAAATAGCTTATGCAAAAGGTTGGCCTTGTATTCTGAGATGGATTCCTGATGCTCCTGCAGGGAGAAGGGAGTTGGTGAGTCCTGCTAGCAAAGGTGGAAATTAAAACTAATATAAATGCCATTGATAATAAAGAAAACATAGGCCTTGCAGCAGAACAAGGCAAGTGAGTGCTGAGGCTGCAAAGTGGGTTCTGAGAAGGAAATCACAATTCTTCCTTAATGTGAAACTCCAGTCAAATGTAAAGCCAGCAAAGCAGGGAAGATAAGAGGCTAGCCTAGCTATATTTCTGCTGTGCTGATTTTCTACGTATTGGGAATTTTAAAGAAAGAGCGTGGAGGAAACATGTAAAAATGGTATATCCCACCTGCAGTCAGAAATGTTGCAGTCCATTCACACCTCGCTGTACTGCTTGGAAGATTTCTGAGAAGTTGAGTTGACTATACCACTTGAGATTGCAGATGCGTGAATCCCATCATTGTTCCCTGACATTAGAAAAAGAAAAATGAAAATCCTTGTAAGAAGAGGACAGCACAGCAGGGAGAGAACTGGGCTAGGAACCTTTCTTCCCGGTGTGCTGTTTTTCTAATGGCGTGGAATTTTCACATTAATAAGCAACTGGGAACTGGATTTCCTGTATGCAGTCCAAAGCGGTACAGCAAGAAAAGCCCTGCTGGAGAAGATTAAAAGCCTATCTCGTCCACAGCATCCTGTTGTTTCCCACTCCCTTAGTTCTGCTGCTTATATAAGCCAGGTCATAGATGGCAAGCTCAGTCTTAGCTCAGAGAACATGAACAGAAGTAGGAATAGAAAGCCATTGGGGAGGAAGCAAGGGCACCTAAACCTTGTAACAATATTTGCAGAGCCATGGGAAGGTCTGCTTAGCACACGGGGAACTGTAGGAATCAGCTAGTCATAAACCCAAAGTCATCTAAGGCATAATTCACCAGCTTCTTCCTTACCCTTGGCAAGCTCCTGCAGCCATCCCGTCAAAGCATTTTATTGTGACTTTCCAAGGAACAAACTGTTAATTCTGGTGATGCTCTGTTCTTCTTCCAGAAGTCAGAGGTGCCTCCCAGTGGCAGAATGCAGGCTGAAGTGAAGCAAAGGAGGGAAACGTTTATATTATCACCTGCTTTTTTCATTATATTACATGTGGTTTGGTGGCATATGGTGAATGCATTCTAAATTCCAGGAGTTTGCTAAGAGCCATATTTATTTCAATAGCAACAGTATTGCCTGACTTACTTGAGAACTGGACATCGCAATTTCACTACTTTGTTCTGAAAGTTGCATACACGAACATTTCTACTTTTTTATTTCAAAAAAATTATATCCCACTTTTTAAAAAAAACTTTCAGCAGTTTATCTCTAAGCGAAGTGAGGTATGAACAAGAATCTATTATCTAGACGTGAATTTTTCACCATGAATTGTTTAAAAAAGTAAATAATTCAACATTTGTCACCAATTGCTATAAAAGTGTTTCATTTCAGTTTTGGCTGAATTGTGTTCACAATCATGCGCACTGATATGCAGCTTTTCTTACGCACTCAAAACATTTAACATATTTGAGCATTTACAGGCCAAGTAAGGTGGGCCTTTAATGTTATCCCAATATTGCCTCTGCAGGGATGTGTCTCAACAATGATGTTTTGCCATACATATCCTGGCCAACACACAGAACTGATCAGGCATCTCCTAGCAAATACATAATGTGTGTGTTGGGGGGGGGGGTTTCTATGCTAGGAGAAGAAGGAAATTTTGGAACTCACAAGGGCATATTTTAAAGGTCTGGCAGCCTATATTTCCATGCTTTGCTACATATTTCGCGATTTAAAATCTCTGCTAGGGTTCTGTTACCAAAGACTACTTGCCCCAAACTTGGTTCTTGGCATCCAGGAATTCTCTTTTATATCTATATTTATTTTTTCCTTGCAATCATCAACAACTCCAGAAGGTTGGATGTTCCAAGGCTGGAAGATAACTTTTAGCAATGGAAAGTTTGGGCAAACAAGATGGAGAGGGCAGGATGTCCTCTGTGCTCTGTTCCCTCCAGGCTAGAATAGAAATGGAAACATCATAACTTGCTCACTTTAAAACTGGACAGGGCGGAAAATCCCATGGAAAATATTATCTGAAGAACCTTTGTACATTGGCAGGACAGTGGACTCGATGGACAAGAACATTTTCCCTTCATTTCTCAGTTCCTAAAATAGGCATGGTGGTTATTTGTTTTTGTTTACCTCCCTCCCATGAAAAATGGCCTTTCAATCATAGGCTAGATTTTCTTTTGGATTTATGAGGGGGGAAGTTGCTGAGGTGCGGGACACGTTTTTTCTGTCATGTTCTGTTGTTGTTGCCTCTTGATATCTTCCACAACTCCCCTGAGGATAGATAGACCTAGGAAAAATAATCAATTACAAGTGCATTAGCTCTCCTTGACATATGAAATCACCACTGCCCTATGTCAGGCCCAGCTACGAAGCCTTTAATTGGCAGGAGAAAACATGGGTGGATAAGCTTTTGGAAGGTTTCATTCCATGCCCTGCATGCCTCTGTCCTGTGGGTAACCTATAACCAGGGGTTGACCTTAATAAGTAGTACAAAAACCATGATGTGAGCATCTTCAAATGAAAAACCAAAGCAATTCCATGTCTTGTCATGCACAAGGTAATATGTATAATTTACAGTGGCGTGCTGAGCTTTGAGAACGATGCATGGAGACCTCTACCTTTTCATATTTTGGAGGACAAAGCCCCCCATAGTAAGCGCTGAATTATTCTCTTTCTTACAACACACGTGAAAGTTATAAATGTCTACATTTTTATTCCTGCAGAGGTTCTTAAATCTCCTAATGCTAATATACGTCAAAACTGAGAACATGCTGGTAACATTGTGAGACTGTGTTCCAAGGAAGGCAGGTAATGTTCTGATAATCCAAATAAATATGGTTGTCAGGTAAGCCCCGGGAGTTAGTAGAAATTCAGCACCCACCAAGCAATTTTTTAAAAATGCTAATCTACTTTAAACAAACCTACCATCCCCCCTCCGTTATCTTTCTCCCTCTGTTTTCCTTCTGTCTCTCTCTAACCCCCCCCCCAAAACCCCTTCTAATTATCTATTTCTCCTTCTCTTTCAAAACCTCTTTTAAAAGGATAATGAAGGGGGTGTTGCTGGTATAACCTGCTTCAAGCCATTCACAGGTCACAGGGCTGTCAGCACACCCAGGTGAAGACCTGTGCCACAGGGTAGTTACTAGTTTCCTGTAACACGTTAGGCAAGTTGCCATGCGTTCTTGATGTTTGCTGTATTCCTGGTCTCAGATCTTTTTATCAGAAAGCCAATGGAAAGGGAGAGGCCTGGTATGTCCTTCCTCACAATGAGAGTCTTGTCTAGATGGACTTCTTTCGCTACCAATATTTTTTTGCTGATCCTCAGAGTTCAGATATGCAAGGGCTTCTGGGTGTCCCAGACCATAAAGTTTGTACGTTTGACTCGCCACACCCACCACAAAGGTAGGTTGGTGACAGCCATTTACCTGCAGTCAATCAGCTCTGCGTTCGGAACACACCTCATTGTTGACATGCTGAAACGGTGCGTACGTGCGTGAACCTCCAGGCCATTCTGAGCCACATAAAACGGCACGTATGGTTTGTGACCAGCGACACCATGTTCCTGAGCATAAGCATGCCCAGACCCCATGCTAAATTGATTTACTAGCCAGTTGTTTCCTGTATACATGTGGGTGGAGCATTATGTGGGTGGCAAATTTCATTGTTCCAGTTATGAGGTCTGAATGTAAGCATTCGTTGCCGTAAAGCCCTCAAGAAAGGACCGCATGTGCAGACCAGACGAAACCCAGCCTCAAATAGACACCCCATAAAGTAGAAAATAGTTCCAAGAGAAAGGTCATGTGTCAGCTGATTCCCTGGGTGTGGTGACCGAACCATTCTGCTTTCATGTTCCACCCATTGCTGGCTTAATCTCTGTTTGTGGCTGTTGACGTTGGTTTTCTCACATGCTGCTAAAAATAGCTACCCTTCCTCAATGGGGAATGGTATAGTAATTGACTGGAGAAAGATTGTGAATGTAATCAGACTGCTGGTGTGTCTGATATGCTCCGGAGCCTGCAGTCGCTTTCAAATAACCTTTCATGCACAATTCAAGATGACATTTAAATTTTTATTTTAGAGCTCAAAATGGCTTGAGCTGCGAAGGTAACCCCATCTCCCTATCAGGCTTAAGCTCCTGAACAGGAACAAAAGTGCAAAGGTCAAGGTGAGATAAGGCAATGCTCAGAGGAATGCAGCAAGTCTAGGAAAGCCGAGAGGAGACTGGATGAGGTTCAGTGGGCTGAAGCTGAATTTATCAGTGTGCTGCTGTGTGCAGTTCTGCTATCTGTGCAGAAAAGTTAAAAGGCAACAGAGATGTGTCACTGTTTATTGACTTAATTTACCTTTCCACCCCACCTTTCTTCTACCAGGGAACTCAAAGTAGCATCCAAGGTGGTCTCTTATCCCAGCACCGACTGCAACTTAGCTTTAGCAAGATAGTGGCCCCATGTGCCTTCAGACCATACCGTGGGAATGAGATTTCGTTGGTTTTCATTGGCTTCCTTTGTTGGGTTCTGTGTTTATACAGTGGTGCCCCGCAAGACGAATGCCTCACAAGACGGAAAACTCACTAGACGAAAGGGTTTTCCGTTTTTTGAGCTGCTTCGCAAGACGAATTTCCCTATGGGCTTGCTTCGCAAGACGAAAAACGAAAACGTCTTGCAAGTTTGTTTCCTTTTTCTTAACACCGTTAATACAGTTGCAACTTGACTTCGAGGAGCAACTCATAGAACGCGGTGTGGTAGCCTTTTTTGAGGTTTTTGAAGACTTTGGTGATTTTTGAAGCTTTTCCAAAACTTCTTTTAAACTTTTAAAAAAAATTTGGGGGTTTTTGGATTCTGGGTTGGGGTGTTTGGAATTCAAGGACTTGGTGTTGGGGAGGGGTTTGCAAGAATCTGGAAGCTTGTGTGTTTTTTTCCTGAATTTTTATGATTTTCTGTGACCATTGGGCCACTCTGCTGTTTTTTAAAAAAAATTATGGATTTGAATTTCTGTGTGGTGGGTGGCTGGGGGAACAGTTGAGGAGAGGTTTGCAAGAATCTGGAAGCTTGTGTGGTTTTTTTCTGCATTTTTATGATTTTCTGTGACCATTGGGCCACTCTGCTGTTTTTTTAAAAAATTCTGGATTTGAATTTCTGTGTGGTGGGTGGCTGGGGGAACAGTTGAGGAGGGGGGTTCTTCAGCAAGAAGCAAAGAGTGGAAGAGGAACCTTCTTCGAGTTGTCCCCCAGAGTCTTAGAAAATGTACTGTACACTTTGTTGATTTTAAAATGTTTTTCTGTCATGTTTAGAAACTTAATTTATTGTTCCTTCAATTTTGAAATGCTCTTTACAGTATGTGTGACTTTAAAGAGCACTTAATAAACTCTTGTTGTACCAAATTTGGCTTTGTTTGGACTTTTTTGACCATAGGAACGCATTAATTGGATTTCAATGCATTCCTATGGGATTTCGTGCTTCGCAAGACGAAAAATTCGCTAGACGATAAAACTCGCAGAACGAATTAATTTCGTCTTGCGAGGCACCACTGTAGTTTTGTTTTATAGTATAGTTTTGCTCTGCATGCAAATCTGAAGCAGATGATTACATGTTGAAACACAGAACACACGGAAAAATCTCAAAATCTATCCCAAGATAGAAGATAAATATGAGAATGAGTTTGTGCAACCTTGTAGGTCTATGCATGCAGAAGGTCCCCCAGGTTCAGTCTCTGGAATATCCAGTCAACAAGCAGCAGGCGACGAAAGACCAAGACCATAGAGAGGCACAAGCAGACGACACTGAGCTAAACAGACAAATAGACTGAGGCAGCTTCTTCTTATGTTTCTGAAATGTTCCAGAGCAGAGAAGATTCCTAAGCTGAGTTCATAGCCTGGCTGATTTTACAGAGTGTAGGGTATATAATATGGTCTGCCTTGACCTATGCAGCATTGGATGGCTCCTGTAGGTCTGGCTTCCTGTAATTCTCTCCTTTGGCCAGAGTTCAGGGCCAATTTGCGTACTATTTCAGCCATGCCAGCCTACTGAGAAGTGCTTCCCTGTGGCTGCTACTCTCTATGATTGGAAGAGCTGTAATTAGGGCTTTTTTTTCAGCCGGAACTCACTGGAACTCAGTTCTGTCACCTCTCAGGTGACCGCCATTGCCATTCTAGGAGAATGAGGGAGGTGTTCATGGCGAGCTCCAGCACCTCTTTTTCTAGAAAAATAGCACTGGCTGTAATATATAGAAACACTTTGCATGAGTTGACACAAATTACATGGAGACTGCATGTTGACACTGCCCCTTCCTGGCTGGAGTTAGTGGCATTCCATTTCATTCAGGGCAACAAAATGGTGCACGTTTATTGCCCCTCGTGTGGAGCCACCTCCATTTTGTGATGGTTTCCATGTGGTTGAGCTAATGTGTTGATTTGATTAGTCTGAATGTATTTGTTTTGCCCATCAGAATCAGGAGAACCCACAGATACTAAATTACACAATCTCACACACTATGCTCCACAGTATTTTCCTTTGTGTGTAAATCATATATATATATATATATATATATATATATATATATATATAGCCTTGAGTAACTCTGATTTCTGGCTTATGTAGCCATAAAAGTCAAGACAAGGCATGTCACAAATTAATTTGCAGTGATGCTCTGCTTTTTACGACATCAGCATGGAGATGACTTTGTTCACTTGTCCAAATAATTGGTTGTGAGGGAGAACACACACGTTCCATATAGCTGTCGCTAACAAGGACTGGCATTACGTGCTGCCCAACTTTGTGAAGGTTTTGTACAGAGAGTTCCACACTGTACAAAAAAGAAAAAAAGCTTCTTCCACCTCTCCATGCATGATTTTTCACTTACAACTCTCATGGATACCACTTCCCACCCCCCTCCTTTTAACAGAAGCAAACTCTGAATATAACAGTTTCTCCAAAACATATATTCCTCTTCCATCACAGCCAAGAGTGGTGCTGTGAATTCAAGGTTTCAGCATAAAAATTAATGCTGGGCCAAACTTTGGAGACAAGAAGAGCCTGCTGGATCAGCAAAGGGGAGGCCGGCCTGCCGAAAACCCAGGGTGGCACTGCGCTGTTCCTCCCGGTACCATGCAAAATGGGGCCGGTGCCATTGTCCCACGCACTCCGCTTTCGGGGGCAGCAGGGGCTTCTCAGAGGAGGATTGGGGCCCGAAGGGCACAGGGGCACAGGACAGGCAGCATCTTCGGCCTCGGCTTCAGCAGGTTGCTACAGCAGCCCGGGAAGAAGAAGAAGAGGAGTTTGGATTTCATATCCTGCTTTATCACTACCCTAAGGAGTCTCAAAGCGGCTCACAATCTCCTTTCCCTTCCTCCCCCACAACAAACACTCTGTGAGGTGAGTGGGGCTGAGAGACTTCAGAGAAGTGTGACTAGCCCAAGGTCACCCAGCAGCTGCATGTGGAGGAGCGGGGAAGCGAACCCGGTTCACCAGATTACGAGTCTACCACTCTTAACCACTACACCACACTGGCTCACCACACAGGAAGTCGGCCTGGAGGGGAACAAAATGAGACTGGGCTGAGTAGCACCGGTCCTTTCCTTGCCTTCGCCCTGCCCCAGCCCGCAGCTGATTGGCCAGCTTGGTTGGGGGCGGTGCGAAGGCCTCAAGGCAAGGAGGGTGGCATCTGGAATCCAGGTCAAAAACCCCGCCCACCTCTTGGAAGGGAGGGTGGTAATTGTTGATAATTTTGCCACCCCCCTCAGGGTTGATACCCGGGGTGGCTCGCACCCACCACACACCCCTTCCTATTCCTCTGTGGATTTCCAGCAACTGGTATTCAGAAGCGTTCCTGCCTCCAATTAGTAGCCATGTCCATTAATTTCAAGGGTCTCCTTTGAGTTTGACTTAATTGGATATACCTAGAGAAACATAAGGGAGAGCAGACAGGGGGCTTGAAGTTGTCCATCAACACTGGTCAGCAGACTGAGCTCACCAGGCCACAGCCTTCCCTCTTACGGTGAGCTTAATGCATTTTTATTTAGATTATAGTAATTATTCTACATGTGCATCTAGACATATCAATTAGACTATGCAGATTGGAGGCAAATAGGTGCCCTCTTTTGTTGGTACTGCCTAATGCCTAGCTAGGGCAGACACAGAGCTGATCCACATGTATTTTTCTTCTGTTTTTACTCTAAAAAAATCTCCCTTCTTCCAAAGGGTTTTCCAGGGTGTGATGAATCACAGCCTAGACACATATCGGAGCAGACACAAAACCGCTTTCGAAAGACCAGCTTGTATGACTTGATACTGAGTAGCTGTCTTCGCTGTGGATTTTCTGTGCAGCAAAAAATAAATAAACCAACAAGCAGGCAGGCAGGTCACTGTTTTGCTGGCTTTTGGCTGATTTGCGAGGGCCAATTTGAAACAGCTGTTTGTTACAAGTTATATTTTATGTCAGCCACATTCCCCTTCCAGCTGGTGGTTTGTCAGACACTCCTCCAGATTTCCATGGACAAATTCGTTATTCATAAATATTTGCCGAACCATGTGGCTGAATCATTTTGTCAGGCAGAGGGCTGCTCAGAGAACTGCTGCTTAGACACTTGGCTGGTTCTTTTTTGTTCCAGATTGTAGGTTCCGCTTCCTTTGCTGAAGAATATACCACTGTAAACAGGAGATGAGTGTTTATTATTGTTTTCGACATATTTTCAGACTGATTATCTTCAGCGCCACATTTTGCTACTAGACTTTAGAACGCTGGCTGTGTCAGCAGCACACTATTCAGCTGTTCTCTGAAATATTTTGAGTAACCAATATAAGCTGAACAAGCTATAGCTTAGGGTCCCATTCTCTCTAATGGGGCCTCCTGCTGCTGCCGTGCCGCTGGAGCACGATTTCTGTTCTCATCCTGAAGCAAAGTTCTTAACCTGAAGCACTATTTCTGGGTTAGTGGAGCCTGTAACCTGAAGCGTATGTAACCTGAAGCGTATGTAATCCGAGGTACCACTGTAAATCAATTTTCTCCCCCTCCCCCCCTTTTCCTGGTGTTAGGATGAGCCACCAGGATCAACAAATGTCTGCTGTCTTGGCACACGAACAAGTGTCTATGAACAGAAAGGAAGTATGATTAATCTAGCTGAAAACCTCAGATGAGTGATTCTCACCAAAGGCTTATCCTTGAGCACCAATTTCTACAGTTCATTTTTGCAATCACAGTTTTCCTGGGAACCAGGGCAAAGACTGTGTGGGGAGTTCAAGCACCAAAATCAGATATGGGTGAGACACCAATGGCAATTAGATACCAGCAGGTTTTTATTTTATTATTTTTTGAAGGGGGAATAAAAAGTCATTAAAATGAATTACTTGCTTCCCAAACTCGAAGTCTGATTGTTTCTGTTGACTTTTTAGCAGGACGGTTCCCCAGCCGGTTAAACGAATGTGGGGAAATAGTTCAAAAGCCAGCTATTTGCTAAATACAGTTGCGTGTCAACCGTCAAATATTCAACAGTGCTGTGTGTTTTCTGCCAAGTTCTGTCAAAATCTAAACATCACTGCCTGCCAGCTGTCACAATTCCATTGAAATGCTAAATACAACTGCATGTTGGCTGTCAAATATGGATGGCTTCATGTCAGCTATCAAATACTGCTCTTCAAATGAAAAGATTCGGTGAATATTCAGTGTCAGTGATTTGCAATGGAGAATTTGGGGAGGCATATTAGTTTCATTTCTTTATCATAAATGTTAATAGTAATTTCAGTTATCTGAGTGCCACTCCCTATATAGCAAAAAGGGCACACTCCACACAAAATAGGAAAGTATTAGCAGGCTCATTAGGGGAACCCAAAGGTTTGCAAAAGCAGAGAGAAAGCAAAACCTGGAAAATAACCTACTGTGGAGAACCCTACCCCAAAAAAGAAAATTCAGGCAAATGAGGACTGAATTTGTTCAGTGGTCACAGAATGTCGAATGGCTGCTGGTTGTGGTGTCGATGTAAAATTCAAGTGGTATGTGGAATGATTATCTTGAAAGAATAGGAGCATTCCGCACCACAACTGTTTCTTGCCTGTACCACTTCTGTATTCTTAAATAGTGAAACTATCTAATTGGCAATTTCCAAAACAATACTCAAATGGAAACACAGCCACACTTCGAAATTTGCATATCTCCGAATTTGCAATGCAGTTCTCTGACCAAGCAGTGTATACAAAATTGCATAAAGTAGGGAATAGTGTGCACTAAAATGAATACATTAGGAAAGACAATGTACAAAAATGTACTGCATTAAGGGAAATTGCCTGGTGAAAATAGGTACTGTAGACAAAATTGCTTAGAAAATAATGTTTATTAGCAGAAAAATTGCTCTAAAAAGCTGGTGAATTTTTATGAGGATTAAAAAAAACCAACCAAAATCGCAGGCTGGTTTGGAAATGTAGAGGGCTAAAATTAAGAGTGGAAACATGAGAAACCAAAATGGATAGTTTGGCCCATTCCTAGCTGCAAAGCAAGCAAGTGTTGTTTTTCACAGTTGGGTCTCCTTGGATGCATATCAGGAATTCCTCAATGACAGGAACAGTAATGGCAGAAAGGCTTATGTGTAAAAGACAGCCTGCCCTCTCTACTGGTCTAACACCATAATGAATACAGTGGTACCTCTGGTTGCGAACGGGATCTGTTCCGTAGGCCCGTTCACAACATGAAAAGCCCGCAACCTGAAGCGGCGTATCTGCGCAGGTGCACGGCCCGATTTGGCGCTTGTGTGCATGCGTGAGTGGCGAAACCCGGAAGTAACCTTTTCCGGTACTTCTGGGTCGCCGCGGAACGCAACCTGAAAAAACGTAACATGAAGCAAATGTAACATGAGGTATGACTGTATAACACTGTGGGAGGTTGTGGGTATGCTGTAATCTAAGTCACACTTCCCGCTCAGACAATGCAAGAATACCACTGCCCTACAAGAACAGGCTGTACATGAAGGATAGAGGATGGAAAGGCAGAACGTTGATCAGAGTTTACTGGTAGACAGATCTCTGGATGGTTTGCAGGGGTTTCCGACTCTCCGTCACTTAACAATAGCAATAACATAAAGGCTTTTCTCCCTTTTCTCATTTCTCTAAATTAGGCTGTTTAGAATCAATAGGAACTCAAGAGTAGGTATGCCCTTCTTTCTATATGCAGATCTCAGTTTATAAATCATGGGGTGCAATAGATAATCGGCTCTGCTCCATCCTACCATTTCGCTCACTTCATTTGCTCAGGCATTTAGACGCCATTTTGACAACAGCTGGGTCTTGGTTTTAACCTGACTTTCATCATTCTTTTTCTTGTCCAGCTATTTATTCATTTCCCCTATGGGTAGGAGTGGTGTAAATTACAGTGGTACCTCGTGTTACAGTCACTTCAGGTTACAGACGCTTCAGGTTACAGACTCTGCTAACCCAGAAATAGTACAGAAATAGTAACTTTACCTCAGGATGAGAACAGAAATCGTGCGGCGGCAGCAGGAGGCCCCATTAGCTAAAGTGGTACCACAGGTTAAGAACAGTTTCAGGTTAAGAACAGACCTCCAGAACGAATTAAGTTCTTAACCCGAGGTACCACTGTACCTAAATAAGTGTAGTTTAACGTGAGAGTTTTAATAGGTGTTTTTAAAATGTATATTTCCCCCCCCCCGGCTTTTCAGTATTGAAGATTGAGCTATAAATATAAATGAATAACCTGGGAGCCACAGCTTGTTAAGGGCTCTGGTAATTGTAGCTCTAAGAGGGAAACAATATTTCCCAGGATTCTTTGGGGAAAATCATGTGCTTTAAATGTGTTTTGGATGTGCTTTAAATGTATCATGTGGATCTGCATTTTATTGATTTGTAAACATCTTTAGGTAAGATTACTTCTTCTTTTTTTAAGCAAAGCAAAATAAGCTTTATTGTACTAGCCAAAGGCCATGACAAAACCATACAAGCACTTTCAAGAAAAGAAATATCTATATAAGTATATAACTACAGGGGTACCTCGGGTTAAGAACTTAATTCGTTCTGGAGGTCCGTTCTTAACCTGAAACTGTTCTTAACCTGAGGTACCACTTTAGCTAATGGGGCCTCCCGCTGCCACCACGTGATTTCTGTTGTCACCCTGAGGTAAAGTTCTTAACCTGAGGTACTATTTCTGGTTTGGGGAGTCTGTAACCTGAAGCATCTGTAACCCGAGGTACCACTGTATATATAAAAAGCAGAGCCACTGCCAGAGCCATCAAAATCATAAAATGCAGGTGCATGTGTCAACTGGGGACCGCATACAGCATGCAGTATTTTCCTAATTAGACCTCTGAATCTCCCTTACAGTTCACTGCAATGTTGTCCAGATTCTTCCGGATCTTTCTTGCTGCCAGCACAAAGGGGGCCACATTATAAGTCACTGGGCCATCACTGAGTAGCCATAGAACCTTCTCCACCTGGGGGAGACAGCTTTCCTGGACAAACAAGGGACTTAAAAAGTGTCTCCTAGGTTCTCTGCATAGTGGGCACTGTGATAAATACCGGTAATCCTGGATGTTCCTCCACCTGCGGTTGCTCACAGATACAAAGTCTATCTGCGTACGGAACCCTATTATAACTCCCATCCATGACTGCAAAAGGCATTACTTGGAAACACAGCTTAGTAAAGGCAGATCTTAATGAAGCTGTCTGAAGGCTTAATTAAAAATAAATAAAAAGTGAAAGCCACCAATCAGTGATTCAAGAAAGGAAGACCGAACTGGTAGTGCTCTGACCCACTTAGGTTTGTGAGTTTAAGTGATGATTCAGTAAGAGAAACAGACTGCGCTTTGGTCCTGTTCTCCCAAACAACTCATGCTTTTTCACCCATGATTTGGGGAAGCACCAGCTGGTTAATATTTGCTGAACCCAAAGTGTGCGGGGTGTGTGTGTGTGTGTTCATAATCTCAGCTATTCGGCACATCTTTTCAGAAGGGAATGATGTGGCACAACTATAACAGACCTTTCTGTTTTTAATATTCGATTGGGAGCCGCCCAGAGTGGCTGGGGAAACCCAGCCAGATGGGAGGGGTATAAATAAATTTTATTATTATTATTATTATTATTATTAATGTGTTACCTTGCTCCAGCAATGGGTGTGTTTGCAGCGATGGTTGGAGAAGATATTCAATTAAGTTTTCTTTTAAAGTTGAACCTACCTAATTAGCATTTTCCGAAACAATGCGCAAACCAAAACATAGCCATCTTTCTGAATTCACCCTTGTCAAGATTTTGCAAAGATCTCCAGCCAAGGAATGTGTACAAAAATACATCTACTGGGGCAACGTATGCATAAAAATGCATATATTGGTGAAAATAACATACAAAAATGCATTCTATTAGGGTAAGCTGCTTTGGAAAAAGATGTATCGTTAGAGATTGGGGAGACCGAAATCTAAACCCACACGAAAACGGATGGAGATGGAGACTATTACATTCTTCTTCTCCTCAAAAATTCCCTCATAATCAGATGTACCATCTTTGGTAAGAGAGAAATATATGCTGGTCAAGCTATTTAGTGCTCTAAATTTCAGGGAACATGGCTTCCATCGCATAGATTCCTTTCACATTAATGCTGAACACATTATTCCACACTCTTCACCATAAGGATCCAGGGCATGATATAACTATTTTAAAATACAACATTAAAATCAATTAAAACAATTTGCAGTAAAGAGAATAAAGAAGGCTTCCTCAGACTCGGCCTTCCCGATGTTTTTGGACTACAACTCCCATCATCCCTAGCTAGCAGGACCAGTGGTCAGGGATGATGGGAACTGTAGTCTCAAAACATCTGGAGGGCCGAGGTTGAGGAAGCCTGGAATAAAGAATAAATACTATTCACTCACACACCCCTCAGGTGTCAAAAGCTGGGGTAACGAGGTGCATATTGAGCATATGACCAAAACTGCACAATGAAGGTGCCAGACACGCCTCTGGGGAGGGGATTCCACAGTTTAAGGGCTGCCACAGAGAATGCCCTCTCCAGGGCTGTCAGCCCCTGAATTTCTGAGGGTGGTGGAACTACCAAGAAGATCTCTTCAATTGGTCTTAACACCTCAGATGTTCTATAAGGAAGGCCCTCTTCATGTTAATGTCAAAGGTTCAGCTAGTGGGGTGCATGGTCACTGGGCACACTGGCATAGGTAATGTCAGGAACGTGGCTCACCAGAGCGCAGGGGGAGAGTCAGACTCAGAAACTGAGCTAAGTGAAAGAAGGACCGACTCTGCAGAGGAGAGCTGGCTGACACTGTCAGCTCTCAAGAAGAGGGAGAGTTGGAAGGCAGCCAGAGCATTGCTAGGCAATCAGCAGATAGGCAGAGGTCTGAGACTGTGTCAAGTGAAAGTGGGGAGGGTGAAGGTCAGCCTCTCAGTCCCCATTCTAGGAGACAGAATAAGAGGGCAATGGAAGGATAAGAGGGGAAAGGCAAGAGATTGGCATCCTTCCTGCTGTGGAAGGGGCAAAGATGCAGACTGACCAACTATTGTCAATGCTAGTGGGCGAGAAGCCATGCTCTGGATGTGTTTTGTTGTAAATAAACATACATAAAACTGCCGGAGAGTCATTACTTCTTATTGGGGCTTGCTTGCCTGCCAGAGATCGTTACAGGTAATGTCTTCTGTCTAATACATGGTTTTCTCTAAAGCTTTCAGTGACGGGACTTCAGTATACCCTGGAACAGGCCAGGCCATGTTGAGCATTTAATCATTTATGGTGAATGTACAGCTCAGGAATCCTGCACACTAATTGTAGCCCTCATGTGATATCTTGATGAAACGCAGGCAAGAACTGTCTTATTGTATGACCATAAAGAGAGGTTTTGAGAATGACAAAATCTGAATCCCAGTAGGAAGAGTAGTTTTAGGGACATGCTGTCACTGTTAGCTCCACTGTCGCCTTGTTGTCATGGTATTGGGAATCTCGTTTCCAGTTACATTCTTCTTCAGCAGCTGTTTCTTCACTCATTCCCTTCCCCATTTTTTGTTGTTGTTGTTGCTGTTCTGCAAATGTACACTAAAGCTGGGTGTTCCTGAGGTCGCTTGACTCTCTGTGCTCATAACTTCCTCATAGTTCTTCTGTGTGGGGTGGAATAAAATTGCCCCGCTACAGTTTTACGGTGCAATAATTTAGCCTGCAATAAAATGGCCCATTCTTCAATAAAATAGTGTACTATAAGACTCCTGGCAGCGCAACTATACCATTGCACAGGGGTGAGGTAAAACCAGAGAGGGCAGAGGACAAGAGCAGCACATAGGCCTCAGACTTCGCTTCCAGATTCCATTGGAAGGCTGCCACATGTGGGGTAGAAGTATCATGCAGAATAGAGGAGCTGCTCTCTCTCTTTTCCCCTGTCCCCCAATCTATGTGTTTCTTTGGAAGTATTCTACTGGGTATTTGGGCCCTTGGGCAAAAGCTCCTTAGCACAGCCTTCATTGACCTGATGCCCTCCGGTGATTTGGAATGCAAGCCCCATCCGCACAATTTGGCGAAGGCCAAATAAACAGCCAGAAAATGGAGAATTTATTATTACCTCTAAGTGGACACAGCCGTTGTTCCTCCATCGCAGGGCTGGTCCTGGCATGCAGCAGGAGGAAATGACTTGCATCATGAGAGTAGGGCAGATAAAGGCAGAAATTGCTTTCTGAACAGTGCGATAGGACTTCTAAAAACATTGTTCATGGAATCGTAGCATTGTAGTGTTGGAAATGTGTCCCGAAAGACCTGCCACCTTCTTTATGGGCCTTTTCCCACCTGGCCTGGGAGGGTAGGGCCCTGAAATATACTCGGAGTCAAGTGTGGATTTCATGCTCTTTATTCAGCTCATAGTAGTGAGGAATGGAAGTTCCCCCAAAATGTCTGCTTTATATACATTATTTACACAATGGGCCCCATGTGATTGGCTAATTCTGGGATTCTCCTGTAGGCCAATCAGGCTGCGGATTCACTTCCACCTGGAGTTGGATTGGGTGGCTCCTGCGGACCAATCAGACTGCTGCATTCTGGATCCTATTGTTCTAGGACCAATCAGACTGCTGCATTCTGGATCCTATTGTTCTAGGACCAATCCTATATACTGCAACTTGTCTTATGCTAAATCCTACAGTGTTTATAAGTTTTATATTGCCTAATGTAATATGGTCAAAACCCAAGAAGCAAGGTTTTCCTGTTGTAAACTTTGCCTCACTTCGCTACAGATAAATGTGCTATAGAAATGTTTAATAATGGGGACAAGCTGGGCTGAATCACCCTCGCTGGCATTTCGGGGTGGAAGTAACTTTCATCCGCCAGTCTGCCAAACCAGCACTGCCGCATGGTTTTAAAAACGCTTGCGCACGAAACCAAACCAAATGAGCTGTAATTAATTATCAGTTTCTGAGAAATGCAAAATGAAAAAGGACACGCAGAGGGATTTTAAAATGAGGTTAAAAATATCCTTCCATTTATTAGCCCCAATGTGATTAAATGCGTTCAACAGGGATCTGGAGGAAGTCGAAAATCAGTGCTGGCCATTGAGGATCGGCAGATAATAAAAAGATTGGTGCAGTAATGATAATGAGAACATCTAAAAGGCAGCTGGCCTGCTGGCCTGCTGGCCCGCCTGCCTGCAAGGTTCTCTGTGTTCAAATGCAGAGTGTTCCAATATAGCCAAATACAAGGTCACGTGTCAAGGGATCAAGATTTAGGCCAGGGGACAAAATGGGATATCTTGGTCTGCATTGAATACATAGAAGACGTAAGCAAGCCAGAAGCCCAGAAAGCAATAGCATGAATGATGTGCTGTTTGAAATACAGTAGTTTGCTCTCGGGTGCTTTTTATGATATTTTAAAAGCTTGGGAACAGGGAGCAGGGTACAAAATACACATGCTTTGAGACTTCCGGGGTGGCGCCATCGGCAATGGCGGACTCCCTCTGATCTGGGGGGCTAGCTCCATGCGAAACGGGTCTTTTCCGCTACGGCGAAGCAGGGACCCTTTCAAAAATCACAGGCGGATGAAGCCTGTGACCATGGGACTCGGCGGGCACCTTTAGCGCCCCCCCAACCCGCAAAAGAACCCACTAATGGGCTCCGGAGCGAAGAGGGGGAAGTGGCGCGGTGCTGAGAGTCAACTGCTTCTTCCGTGGAGCGAAGCTGCACAGCCGTTGCCGGAGAGTGCTGCCTTTTTCCTGGGACAATTTGGCTTCTAAAATAATCACCAGTGAGTACTTAAACTCGGACAATTGGACTTTAAATAAGGACTTGTGAGCAGAAAGGAAAATTGGACTTAAAAGTTTACCTCAATTTGGCACTGAAACGGGAAGGTCTAAACAGGAAGTCAGCCTTCCGTTTCTTTGTAGATAGATCAAAGCAAAGACATGGCAAACTAGAGCCCAGAAAATCGCTTGTAAAAGATTAACTTTCATCATTTAAAATTGTTGAACACCCTTCGGAAGCAGGGGAAGAGGGGGGATTTTTTCGGACTGTTTAAATCTACAGAAGTGAGTCTAAAGTAAAGTAACTTTCCACTGTCCTGATCCTGGAGCGGGGTGTCAGGACTGAC